ATTATGTGTTTCCTGGAGAATTAAACTAAGCTCTGGTGCTGTAAGAGTCGGTCGGCGTCGATCATTTAATTGTAAAATATGATCTTGCTGAGGGGTAGTAATGCGATGTCGCCCTGTGTGCCTTTCAGCAACATCACCACTTTCACGGCAGCGTGCACTTAATCGCGATATTACACTTTGCGTTGTATTTAATGCTCTACGTCTATTTGGCGCATTCCAGCTTCAAGCATACCCATGGCCCTTAGCATTTCGTCTCTGTTAAGATGTCTACGCTCCATAATGTCGTTTAATACTAAACAGAGTTATTTGAATGAATTCTGGCCAGTTATCATAAAAACATAGCCAGTACAGGTTAAATTCGAACGATTGATGCTAGGTGCTTTTTATACATTTGACAAAAAATGCACAAACACTTCTGCAAATATCCCAAATTTAGAAATAACTAGTGTGACTACTTCGTTTCAATCGAAGTAGAAAGAATCGGCCTACAAATATGTGGTTGTTTATTCAAAACATTTATTTTTAACTTTAATAAAATGATATCCCTATATTTTTCCGGTGTGTGTATGTAACTTTTTATATCCTGCTAAGTATATACAGGGTGAGTCTTAAATAAGTGCACATATTTTCAGGGCTGGTAGATCTCGATAAAAGAAACATATTTTTCCTTTACCGTTTTTTAAATAAGTTCAAAATAACCGAGTTATTTTCTCAAAAAAAAAATTTGCTTAAATTTTCAGAACCACTTCCTGGGATTTCTTTCCTGTAAATTTAATCTACTTCCTATGTTGCCATATTATCAAGAAATTATGTTTTTTTTAATTAAGAACAAAACAAATTTCCAAAAAAAAATTCAAAAAATTTCAAATTTTCATTTTTTTTTTGCGAAATATACTATCTTTAAAATATTTACGCTTATTTAAGACTTACCCTGTATAATATTTGCATATTTTTTGTTCACTTTTTAGCTCGCATCTGGTTGTTTATCGATAGTAATATTGATTTATGTAGAAATATGAAATTCTATACTTAATACTTTCTCCTAATGTATAGTAATAAATTCACACATTAAAAAAGTTTTTAAAACGTTACGCCAAAATGTTATTGGTTATAAAAAATTTCTCCTGCATTGCATTTGTTCATGTAGATGTGCATTGCTCTGAAGTATAGAGGTAAAGAGTATTATAAAATTTCATGTGGTGTTTATTTTAAAAAAACTGATTTTTTCTTATTATTTATAAGAAAAATAAAAAAAAAAACAGTTATGCTGTATAACCTATTTCATGACTTCACGTAGATTTCACTGCATCAGTCCCACATTGTAATAAAAACTACGCAGCATATATTTTTAACAAAATCCTTTAATTATTGTTATTTTAATTGAAAAGTTTACTATATTAGGAAGCAATGTCTTTAGTTTTATTACTGGGTACTCGTGGTAAACAACGCGCCATAAACTATACCGACCCATGAATGGTTTATTTGTCGAACAATTTTATGTATTGCAGCAAATCCTACCGGCAAGGAATTTTAATTGCAACGATCTGGCGTTTTGCAACTGGTTATTTTAATATGCATCGACATTTTTTTCTCTCTGGGATATCGATAATAATAAAACACGTGTAATAAATACAATACCACGACGATGAAAAAAAAAATGGCGTCAAAGACGGCTGAGAAATGACAATCGATGGTAATTTTGGCGAGGTCAAGCCCTAGGCTTCATTTTTAGGGATGTTCGGTCGTAAGATTTCAGTACCGAGATCCGGTTATCACCAAGTACCGGTCCTACAACCGGTATACCGGTTCCAACAATTAGATCGGTGGGACCGATACTGAACTGGTATACCGGCAGGACCGGAAGACCGGAAGGACCGGATGAACCGGAATATCGGAAAGGCTGAAATAACAGTTTTGGTTTTGGTTGTTGTGCCGGTGAGTACCTCATGATACCGTATTAAAAAATGTAAATAGAAAGTTCCCGTGCCTGTAACGTTAAGTAAATACGGTAACGTAATAAATACGGTATTTTGAGGGATATATTAGATTTCTCGGAATATATCGTAAATGTATTACGATTAACCGTTACCGTTGTAACATTATTGATCTAACTTAAGATTCTCATTGTTTATGTTCACATTTCCGGCATATTCTTGATTTCTTGTCCAACATTCTTTTTACTTATGAAAAATGGAAAAAGTACTGGAAGCTGCTGTTCTTGGAGATATAAATGGAGCGGGGAAATAAGAAGCTATTTTACAATTTTTTTTTAAATTATAGAGTAGACGCTATTGAATATCGCTTTGAGTTTTACGGACATTTTAATTTATGTACATAATATACACATGGGTGATCTATGAGTAAGATGCTTTACTTGAATTTTAGATGTACTAAAAAAAGAAGACTAGATTACTCGGCCAAACTAGACTAGCAATGCCTTAAACATACATCAAAATAAATTACATTGCATGTTCCTGAGCGTATTATACTGAATGATCGAAAAAAAATCCTATATAATTTTCCATATAAAGGTGCGTTCAGACCGGCTGCGCCGCGCCGCGCAAAACGCAAAATCTTTTTTTAATATGTACTTTTGAAGTGTATTTTTTTTACCGCGCACAAAAGTAAAATGATTTGCGCGGCGCGGAGCGGCGCAGTTTGTGTGAACGCACCTTAAGATGACAGCGATCTTTATTTCACAGCCATCGCTGAAGCAGTGTTTTTCGATCATATGGTTTCAGGACCGATTTAAACCGGTCTTCCGGTACCGGTACCAAAATCGGTCTTCCGGTACCGGTATACCGGTCTTGAAAAAGACGATACCGATACCGGAATATTTCCGAAGTACCGGTCCTGGTACCGGTATACCGGAAGACCGATCATGCCTAGTCATTTTCTTCGCCTGTACTCTTTTTTATTTTTACCGCCATTTGGCTTTATGAAGGTTGTATTTACATTTTTTTATGTTAAGTAAAAATGATTTTTAAATGATGTAGTTGAAAATCGGATAAAAAATATCGTCATTTTTTTTGATTTTCTTTATTTTGAAAATTTACAAGTTTTGACTTTATTATTTATGAAATATGCGTATTTTTCATGGAGAAAAGTTGCTATTTTTGAATACAACTATAGTGTTGAAAAGGAATAATTACATAATCACGACTTATTTTCATCCCGGGGTTCAAAACAAGGTTAGAAATTGAACGTTAATCGGTGAAGTAACTCAAAAATAACTCAGAGAAGTATAGTTGGACAATTTCAAAATACTGTGCAACCAGAAAGTAATAAGCGAAGATGAAACAATAAATATATAAAAATTCTTACTACATACTAATTTCAAAATGTAATTTATTGTACAGAGTCCAGCAAAAGTGGGTCGGGCATCTGTAGCTCCTAGAATAAAAAACTTGAGAATTTTGTTTAAATACAAACCTTAAATATGTACGAGCATGTATTGCAGAAAAATATTTTAACTTCATAGGGTGGCTCAAAAAAGTGTATGTGGATCGGGATAATTTTTCTTAAATGGAACACCCTGTATATTATTGCATTTTTGGCTTCCTTTCAGATGGCTTTACATAATCCTAAGATATCATATTTCGATAGTTTCAGAGATGTTAGTAAATAAATAAAAAATATACTTCAGCCTTTTTTAAAAAAAAATTATTAAAAATACAAGAAATATCTTGAAATCAAAACTATATTATGTATTTACTTTAGATGGTCTATACTTACTTTGCTATAAATATCGTTATCGTAAATCATACAGGGTGTTCAAAATTCTACGCCAAACTTTCAAAAATATAAAATCATTTTTCTTTGTATATTATTTTTTATTAGATGGAGAGTTAAAAAATTAACATTTTTTGTATTTAAAATATTTCAAAAATTTTAATGGTTTTACATGCAGTATTATTTCATATGGTTCTTTCATTGGGTGGTTTTGTTCAAAAATTTGTTGTGGAAAATGCCATATGAAATATAAACCCGCGAATAGCTGCAAAACCGTTAAAAATTTTGAATTACTCTAGATGCAAAAAATGTTCATTTTCTAATTCTCCGCCTATTGAAAAAATAATATACAGGATACAGGGCATCGATTTAAAAAAAACGAAGAAAAATTAGTTACATTTTAGAAAGTTTGCCGTAGAATCTTGAACATCCTGTATAATTTAGGATTACCATATTTATAGCAAAATAAGTATAGACCATCTAAAGTAAAGACCTAATATAGTTTTGATTTCAGGACAGTTCTTGTATTTTTAATAATTTTTTAAGAATGGTCGAAAAATATATATTCTTTATTTATTTATTAATATCTCTGAAACTATCGAAATATATTTACTCATATCTTAGGATTATGTAAAGTGATCTGAAAGGAAGCCAAAAATACAATAATATACAGAATGTTCTATTTAAAAAAAAATCATCCCGATCCACTCACACTTTTTTGAGTCACCCTATAGAAGTTAAAAATTTTCCTGAATTTCCTAGTACATACTTTAGGTTGGCACTAAAACAAAATTCTCAAGTTTTTATTCTAGGAGTTACACATGCCCAACGTACTATTGCGGACCCTGTATATTGAATACCTTCCAACAAACATTTTTATGGCATAAAATTATTGATTTATAATATTTTAATATCCCTTTTAATTACAAAAAAATACAATCACGTAACCTAACCTCTATGTTTTAATACACTTATTCGAATAATTAAATTAGAACACCTTCAAATTAAATCCAGTTATTTCTCATCTCATTTTGATAAGTCTCAAATTATTATGGAAAACGTATTTAAATATTGTCAAAAAATTCAATTATATTATTATTTATTTTTTGGTTTGTTTTGACTCTAGTGATAACAGCCGATAAATATTCGAATTTCTTAAATGTATTACCAACCAAAGGAACAAAATCAGAATAGCCTACTATTTCAATCATATTTGGTCGCTCCGTATGTGAAGTACATCTTTTGGCATTATTTTTTTTTGTATTTACCTCAACATATTCCCTCATTTCTCTATTTTCACCACTCTGTTCTACATCTTTCTTCTCACTTTTTTCACTAATAGTTTCGTCCTGTCCAAAAACAACAACAACATTAACAACAATCACAGCCAACAAACTTAAAAACAAAATCGAATATTTTTTCATTTTTCTGTCTTTTCTTTTTTCTTTATTACTTTCTATTCATTACAGTCCATTTTTTTATTTCTTTTAATCAAATTTGTTTATCTTTTTCGCGAAAAATTATCGAAACCGACTGGATTTAACGGTACCATGCGTACGGCAAACAATCTACTCCGCGATTGACTGATATCGGCCGGTACTCATTGGTACGCACCATGTGCTTGCTAAGGTGTTTAGGCCTTTCTAAAAAGCCTATGATCGCGATAATGGTGGGATTGAATGGTTATGAACCTGTCTGGTACCATCGATATGCGAGTACCATGGGTTAGAGATGGATAGGTACTTATTCTCTACCTAGTACCTTAGTTATTTTGATCCTAATTGTTTTATGGCTTTGTATATAACCGTACGATCGAAAAAAGACGGCGTTAAAGACGGCTGGAGAATCACAATTAGGGTTTCCAAACCGGGATCTTGAAATCCCGGGATCCCGGTGCGGTGTATGTTTATCCTCGAAATCCCGATATTAAATTTTTTTAGATTTTAGATTTTTAAAAAAAACTCGAAAAATATTAAATGCCCAATCTAAAATGATTCGACTTTATACACTTTAGTCTTTCAAAGATCATATTTTATTTTTACTAAGCAGAACGTCAATATTTAAAAGTGATATTTCCGTGTTTGCTATACATACAGGGTGAGTTTCCTACGATGTTCTCTATGGGTATCTCGGAAACTACTGGAGATAGAGAGTCGGTTAAATGAGGAAAGAATTGCAGTTTTGTGGGGTCATAAATATGCGCCTTTCAGATTTCTGAAAAAGTTCATGGCTTACTAGATATTTCGAAAAAAACAAATTTCGTTTATTTTAAAAATTGTCCCTAATTCTATTATAAGCTATTTTAGACAAAAAGTTTTCATATAAAAGTTGTAGATAATCACATCCTTAATGAGACTGTCCTGCGTTTTTTTCTAAAGCCTGTCCATTTTGACATATGACACAAACAGTTTTCAACAAACGTAAATGTTTTCTTAAATGGAAACCATAGTTGGCCACGACTTCATAAAAAGCGCCATTTTTTAAGCTTTTCAACGATATACGCTATAATATGTTTTCTTCGAAAAATTACTGAGTGATAGCCAATTCTTGTCATTTTTAAACAATTTCACTTAGTTAGCCATGGAAAAAAGTTTAATCGTCTTTGCTCTCATAAATGTGTAAATATGAATTTTTCAAATGAAGAAAAGCTTGTAGGAATAGATTCAACTTTTCTTCATTATTCATATACGTTGACCGGTGAATGTTACGTTTTTTAGAGAACGGTTTTCAAGACATGTTAGAAAAGTTAAATTTTGTTATAGCCAATTCTTATCTTTCTTGACTAATTTCACTTAGATTGCATGGTATTCTTATTCTGTGATGATTTATAACTTATAAAAAGTCAGAATATATTACTAAACGGTTCTTTACAATTTACATTACACAAACTAAAACTTAAAAAAGTAATATCACTACATACACTTTAAGTTATTTTAGAAAAAGTTCAAAAAATCCGCCATTGTTTTGAGTTGCATCTTTTTAAAACTGAATTACTACCTATTCGCATAGAAGGACCGGTCGACTTAATTAAACTTTTCTCGTACCGCCACTTCAAGTGCCTCTCTTAATTCATAAGTTCTTTTGTAAACCTTATATTACCGCATAAAAAAATTCTAAAATAGATAGGTCAGGCGATCGAGGAGGCTCATGTAATTAGTCCACCTCTTCCTATCTCTGCATTTGTATAATTATGATATAAATAATGTTTAACATTTCTTTCATTATGGGGGTGGTGTGTCATAATGAAAGTCATGTTGGAACCACTCTATTGATGTGCGATATCTACACGCTTTTCTTCATTTGAAAATTCATATTTACAATTTTTGTTTATTTTAATTTAGTTTGGAGAGTTTCACATTTCTGAGAGCAACGGCGATTGAAATTGTTTCCATAGCTAACTAAGTGAAATTGTTTAAAAATGATAAGAATGGGCTATAACTCGGTAATTTTTCGAAGAAAAGATATTATAGCTTACATCACTAAAAAGTTTAAAAAATGGCGCTTTTTATGAAGTCATGGCAAACTATGGTTTCCATTTAAAAAAACATATGTTTGTGTCATTAAGGATATGATTATCTACAACTTTTATCTGAAAACTTTTTGTCTAAAATAGCTTATAATGGAATTATGGACAATTTTTAAAATAGCTGAAGTTTGTTTTTTTCGAAATATCTAGTAAGCCATGAACTTTTTCAAAAATCTGAAAGGCGCATATTTATGACCCCACAAAACTGCAATTCTTTCTCTATTTAACCTACTCTCTATCTCCAGTATAGTTTCCGAGATGCCCATAGAGAACATCGTAGGAAACTCACCCTGTATGTATTTAATTTTTTTTTCAACTGAATTGTATTTTTTTACTTACTAAATCTTGTTTTACTGTTAGTATAAATTATTCAACACACTATTATTTTTTTATTTTTCAAAAAAAATATGACTAAAGCAAATAAAAAAAATAGCAATAAAAAACTCCAAAATACGTATAGACTGATGTTCCTGGTCACTCAACTGCATGACTCAAGAAAAAAACTTGGAATTACTTTCCGTTAGATTAAAATGCTTTTAAATTGGTTCGTTCAATTTACGAAAAAACTCGAACGCAAGGGCAAAACAGTCGTCTGTCAATCCAAAAGAAGAAAACTGCAATTTTTCTTTGCTGTCAACTTTGAAAGATCTTAAGTGCATGAAAAAATTACTTTAAGAATGGTAATTTTTCACCCAGCCAAAAAGTATACAATGTTTAAAAAAGTTTGGCGTAAAACATGTTTCAACCACCCTGTATATCTAGGAAAACTATGTTTAAAATATGAACTACCATTGCCCGCATATTTAAAAAAAATTAAGTAACAATCTTAAACAGAAATTCTGAAATACGAAACTTTTTGGGGCCACACTGTATATTGTTATAAGACAGGCATGCCGGGTACGTTTCAAAAGTGGCTCACCCCCTATAACTTTTTTATATTTTCAGAAAAAAAAAACTAAATTTGGTATGTCGGTATATGACATAAATTAGGATTGATTGACGTATTCAATTGATTTTGGTCATTTCCTGTTTCACCGGAAATTACTACAACTTTTGATTTTTAAATGGCGCCCTCAGTATATCTTTACTTTATTGGATAGAAAATGCCACTCTGGAAAGAATGACATATTATCATATATGTCAACTTTTGATATTTTCGCATATGGTTTATTTGAAATTGTAACATGCGGTTCACAACGACAATTTGACTCGAAATACCAAGTGTGTGGTACCAAATTATTCGTAAAAAAATGTTTTTTCCAAATATGCTAATGAGCAACTCTTGTTCCATTTGAATAAATTGAGATATGATTAAAAATACGATTTGGGCATTTTTTAACTGGCTTTTTAACTTTTCCATGGCTTCTTGATTAAAAAAATTATTAAGTGTTTTTAACACAGTCATGGCGCTCTAGATTGAAACTTAAAACCCGATTTTTTTAAGCAAAAATTTCAAAAGTTTGCAAAAAAAGTTATAGGGGTGAGCCACCTTTGAGACCCACCCGGTATAGTAAATGAGCAAGAAATTAAAAATTTCTCTTTTATAATTAAAATTCTCGTCGAACAGTGCCAAAAATAAATACTACAGAAAAAAACCCATTGGTATATCCGCAGTGACATCCTACGAAACTTCATTTGTTTTCATACACCATCTGTCGCAGTGACAGGATTGACATATGGCGTTTATTATAAATATATTTAACATTACACTTCCCTCGCTTATACAGGGTGTTTCAAAACAAATGCGAAAAACTTTAGGGGGTGATTCCTTGTTCAAAATAAAGGGTAGTTTGCTTTATAAACGTTGGGTCAAAAGTCAACCATTAGGGAGATATCGCGGTACAAAGATGGCGGAAAAATAATGTTTTTATTTTTTATCTTGAAAACGAAAAGAGATAGACTAATGAAATTTTATGGAAGCATTACTGTTATGAAAACACCCTTTCATGTAATTTTTTTACTTTTTTAAAATGAGTGGAAGGGGTTGAAATAAACTACCCCTATCATTCTTGTTAACGAAGTTTAAAGAAAATTCTTATCAAACACATGCAAATACTTTAATTTGGATAGTTTAGTTTGTTTAGAAACTTTTTTACCTCTTGTGTTTTTTTGATAAAACTCACCGATTGGAAATTAAAAAATAAAATGTAAAGCATTACATGTCTGGACAAAAAATATTTTTAGATTAAGAATCTAGTGATAATAATGATAATAATAATCATCTAGATAATAACGTATTGCAGTAGAGTAATGTCAAATAAAATAATATTAGGAAAATCCTAAAAAGTAACAGCGACCGATTTTTTCCTAAAAAAATTACAGCAGCCCACTAGATTCTTTATCAGAAAATGTTTTTTGTCCTGACATGTAATGCTTTACATTTTATTTTTTAATTTCAAATCGGTGAGTTTTATCAAAAAAATACAAGAGATAAAGAATTCTAAACAAACTAAACTATCCAAATTAATTTTTTTGCATGTATTTGATAAGAATTTTCTTTAAATTTCGTTAACAAGAATGATAGGGGTAGTTTATTTCAACCCCTTCCACTCATTTTAAAAAAGTGAAAAAATTACCAGAAAGTGTGTTTTCATAACAGTAATGCTTCCATAAAATTTTATTAGTCTATCTCTTTTCGTTTCCAAGATAAAAAATAAAAACATTATTTTTCCGCCATCTTTGTACCGCAATATCTCCCTAATGGTTGACTTTTGACCCAACGTTTATGAAGCAAACTACCCTTTATTTTGAACAAGGAATCACCCCCTGAAGTTTTTCGCATTTGTTTTGAAACACCCTGTATATAGAAAAAGTGTCGTATTATTATTATAAATTTATTCATAAATGCTTTCGATTATTTTCCTTCTTCGGTAGTCTCAAAAGTCGATAAAATTATAATAATATAGTTCCCGCCAGAGAAAGCAGTCTTAATATTTTGTTTTATTATCAGTTTCACTTTCGAGTATATCCGAACGCTATCATTAATTTAATGTAATATGTGGCTATATCAAATTAAATTTTGTGTTACATTCTTTGGCTATAACTCATCA